TTGATATCATAAAGATGGCATTACTCGTCAGTCCTGGGACAACCAGTTAGGTATTTGGGAAATGGAAATCAATTTAGATCCTCACTTCATGCTTCATATCTTTTACCATCATAAACCCTAGATGGACTAAAGATGGAAGTATAAAAATTTCATAAACAAATATCAAATACTTGGATGGGCTATTTTAAGCAAAAGATGATGGACACACTTTCCCCCATCACTCCTAACTTCCTGAGCCTATATTCCCTCACAGATGTCCCAGTACCCTCAGTCACCTAAACCAGCATCCTAAATGTCATTCACTCCTCATTTCTCCCCCTCACCCAGGCGGTCACTGAGTCCTACTGGTGTTACCTCTTAGCATCTCTCTAATCTCCCCTCCTCCCCATTCCTCCCCATTCCTGTTGCCCCTGCTGCCTTCTCGTTGCATCTTTCTGCCATCCCCTTTCAGTTTTGAAATAATCTACTGACCGGTTTCCTTCCCTCCAAGATTGTATTCCAGACAGCTGCCAGAGGGATCTACAACACACATGTCACCCTTCCTAAAATTTTTCAGTGACCTCCCAGGTGAAGTCCAACCTCTTGTGCAAGGCTCTCAGTGACCTAAAACCTGGGATCTTCTCTGAGCCACAGCTACTCTGCCTCCCTTCCGGAGAATTCCCATGGGTGGGCACACATGCCTGCTGAGCAACTTGCTGCATCTCTCCTTGGCATGTTGTGAAGCAGCAGCAGGGGGACCCATCACATGGGGACCCGTCACAGCACTCTCTAGCTTGTCTTCCCTTGCCTCACTCATGTTCCCTGCCCTGGGCCTGCATCCACCGTCCACTTATCCACTAGACACAGTGCCCAGGACCCACAATACTTTCGAGGACCTAAGAAAATGTTTTACTATTTTTTGAAAATCAGAAAAAAACATGAATATGTGATAGTGAATCCAGCCTGGTTATATTCCTCTTTATACCAATACAGTCATAAAGTATATTACTGTATATATTTTAAAATAATATCTAAATATATTTTTAAACATTTTTTAATGAGGAAGGAAGCCATGAAATCAGAAGTACCTAGAGCCCATAAAAATCATAATGTGTCCCTGATTGCATTTCCCAAATAAAGTATTTGCACTTTAATCTTTGCCTGAGGATCACAGCTTTCATTTTCATTCTTATTCATGGTTGCAAGATGAGTGCTCTCTCCAGACATCACCTCTAGATTTCAGGGAAAAGGGGATAGAATGCATCTGTCTGGTTTTCAGGAAAGCACCAGCTTTATCATAAAGCCACTCCAGAAGACCTCTGCATCCATCTCATGGCCAGAATGTCACACACGTCACCTAACTGCAAGGGAGGCTGAGGAATCTAGTAGTTGGCATCCCAGCCTCTGGAGTAGAGGTGGAGTGATGAGCTAGCCACTCAGGGAATAAAGGCCTCTGTGATCTGACCCTATTCCACCCCTTTAGGCCCATCTTTGGTCACCTTGTCTCAAATGCTCTAGCAACACCCATTGCCTGCCATTCTCTCACCGTTCTCTCACCTCTCTGTACCCTTCGTCACATCCACCCCTTGGCTCAAGCTCTTCCTGCCACCTTCCACCCAGCCCCCACCTCACCTTGCCCCCTGCCCTCCTTCAGGAATGTTTCCCTGACTTCTTCTCCCACCTCATCCTCAGAGGCACCTGCCCTAGTCATTTTCTTTTTGAGACAGAGTCTTGCTCTGTCTCCCAGGCTGAAGAGCAGTGGCACGATCTCAGCTCACTGCAACCTCCACACTTCCAGGTTCAAGCGATTCTCCTGCCTCAGCCTCCTGAGTAGCTGGGATTACAGACACATGCTACCACACCCAGCTAATTTTTTTATTTTTAGTAGAGACAGAGTTTCACCATGTTAGCCAGGATGGTCTCAAACTCCCCATCTCGGGCCGGGCGCGGTGGCTCAAGCCTGTAATCCCAGCACTTTGGGAGGCCGAGGCGGGTGGATCACGAGGTCAAGAGATCGAGACCATCCTGGTCAACATGGTGAAACCCCGTCTCTACTAAAAATACAAAAAATTAGCTGGGCATGGCGGTGCGTGCCTGTAATCCCAGCTACTCAGGAGGCTGAGGCAGGAGAATTGCCTGAACCCAGGAGGCGGAGGTTGCGGTGAGCCGAGATTGCGCCATTGCACTCCAGCCTGGGTAACAAGAGCGAAACTCCGTCTCAAAAAAAAAAAAAAAAAAACAGAACCCTCCCTCAAACTCCCCATCTCAAGTGATCCGCCCACCTTGGCCTCCCAAAGTGCTGATTACAGGCATGAGCCACTGCACCTGGCCCCTAGTCATTTTCATAATGCCCAAACACAGCTATACCAAGGCCGCCTTTCTTCTTTGTGTCCACCACTGTCCACTACAGTGCCCACTACTGTAGAGTCCACTGCCACGTTGGGCACCAGATAGAGGGTCCAGCCCTACAGGATTCTGTGAGCCGCTCCCGGCTGGTGCAGAAACGAGAAATTGTAGAAATAAAAGACAAGACACAGAAATCGAGAAAAGAGAGTTTGGGCCCAGGGGTCCACTGCTACCCAAATCGCGGAGACCAGCAGTGGTCCCGAATGCTGGGACACTCTCACTTTTATTGAGTTGCAAATCTGGGGGTAGGTAGGGCAAGGTCTTGGTGGTCGGAGACTGGGGGTACATCACATGTCATTCAGGTAGGGGCTCAGGAATTTCTGGCACCCGAAGTGAAGTAAGGAGCATGATGCATCAGCACTTTTTCCATACTTACCAAGAAATAACAAAAACATTAAAATTTGTATTACTATGGTTATCTTTTCTAAGAAAAAAGGAACCAGGTGCAGAAGCAGAACATGCGAGTAGACATGGAACGCGACCACTGAAGCACAGCATCACTAGAGACAGTTAAGCCCCCAGATGTCTGCGGGTCTACCTGACAGCCGTCAGGCCTTGCCACAAGAGCTTGGAGAAGCAGAGTGTTCTCCTAACTCCTCCAGGGAAGGAGACATCTCAGCTATTTTGGACGTCTTCTTCCCTAGCTGGCTAAACAGCGGGCGCTTTCCCAGTGCTGCCACTGCCACACAGCCAAGGCGCCCTCCAGCAGCCCTTATGCGGGCGTGACAGAGGGCTTAGAGCATCTTGCCTTAGTGTCATTCATTTCACAGTGTCACACCAGGTTCACACTTCCGACCTGAGAGGCGTTAGTAAAAGAATTAAGATCACCTATGAATAACTAATAATTGCTGTGGTTATATTTCTAGTTACTTTCTTCTTCATTATATATATGGAAATAGGCCGAGGCTTTTTGCTCTTGCCTCGGAGCTTATGGGATCTCCCTGCTACACACTACTGTGCCTTTTTCCTGTTAAATCCTGGTGAAAGTGTGACCTCCCCTCATTTCCTTTTTCCTCTGTTTGCAGGCTCAGACAGGAGTCAGGCCATGTTGGCCTTGTCCATCAGCCCCAATCGGCGGTACCTCGCTATCTCTGAGACTGTGCAGGAAAAACCTGTCATTACCATTTATGAACTGTCATCCATCCCTTGCCGGAAGCGCAGAGTTCTTAATAATTTTGACTTCCAAGTTCAGAAATTTATTAGCATGGCTTTTTCTCCAGACTCCAAATACCTGTTGACCCAGACATCCCCTCCAGAGTCAAATCTTGTCTACTGGCTGTGGGAAAAACAGAAAGTAATGGCCATTATTAGAACGGACACTCAGAACAACCCTGTCTACCAGGTACCTAGTAGCTCGACAAGTATCTTGAAAATTATTTAGGCTGGGCGCGGTGGCTCAAGCCTGTAATCCCAGCACTTTGGGAGGCCAAGGCGGGTGGATCACGAGGTCAAGAGATCGAGACCATCCTGGTCAACATGGTGAAACCCCGTCTCTACTAAAAATACAAAAAAAAAAAAATTAGCTGGGCATGGTGGTGCGTGCCTGTAATCCCAGCTACTCAGGAGGCTGAGGCAGGAGAATTGCCTGAACCCAGGAGGCGGAGGTTGCGGTGAGCCGAGATCACGCCATTGCACTCCAGCCTGGGTAACATGAGTGAAACTCCGTCTCAAAAAAAAAAAAAAAAAAAAAAAAAAAAAAAAGAAAATTATTTAAAAAATAGAACTACTTTTTATTGAATGCGTTCTATGTACCACAGTTCTAATTTCCTCCATGCACTTTAAAATTTAATCTTACAGCAACCATGCAAGGTATGCACAATCATTATCCCCATTTTACAGATGAGAGAACTGAGGCTCCAAGAGGTTAAGTAACTCACTCAAGATCACAGAGGTAGTGAGTAGCAGAGCTAGGAGTTCGCCGACTCCAGCTCCTCTTTTCTTTACTCTGGCCCAGAACTGCATTCTGGTCACTGGTTTAGCCCAGAAGTAGATGCTGGCCGGGCAGGGTGGCTCACGTCTGTAAACTCAGCACTTTGGGAGGCCAAGGCAGGCGGATCATGAGGTCAGGAGATCGAGACCATCCTGGCTAACACAGTGAAACCTCATCTCTACTAAAAAGACAAAAAAAAAAAAATTAGCCAGGCATAGTGGCGGGCACCTGTAGTCCCAGCTACTCGGAAGGCTGAAGCAGAAGAATCACTTGAACCCAGAAGGCAGAGGTTGGAGTGAGCCGAGATTACACCACTGCATTCCAGCCTGCATGACAGAGGGAGATTTTGTCTCAAAAAAAAAAAAAAATCAAAACAAAACCTGCTTTCTCTCCCTGGTTCTAGCCTCTTTCCAGCAGCATTGCTGGGCAGTAGGAAGATTTCAGAAATGTGATGTAAAGTGGCCGATCTTTAGGAAGCTGTTGATGAAGTTGCAGTTACGTAAGGAGCAGAACCTTCCATTGTGGCTTGAGGGCAAAAAGAAGAAGATTCCTCAGGAACCTGATTGATGGCTTAGGCAGGGGGTCCCAAGGAGGTTTGATCTTGGATCAGTCACCCTAGTCTAGGATGTAGCACTCAGTTCCACAAGTTCAACGACTCAGTTCTGTTCATGTTTAGAGATTCTAGTTAATCTGTGTCTCTGACATAGGCTCAGTTATTCATCTCACAAGACACATGTGAAAGCCAGCATATCGCAACCAGAACGCTTACATCATTTATCCAATGTATTCCCTTCCTAGTAATAGAGAAGTTGAGAGGTGAAATTATAATAGTAGTCAGAAAGCTGCTGGGTGATCATTCCAGAATCAGACCAAAGGCAGGTAGAACCAGAAGGGTATTTCAACCAGGCCACAGTGAGACCTGATGAAACACCTCCTGCTCTGAATAAGTAGATTCAGCAACCATTTTTGGGTGCCCATGATGAATCACCACTGGGAAAACAGAGACGAAAAAGTCACAGCCCCTCAAGTTCCTCACTCTCTAGCCAGTACAGCAGGTTGACTGCCTATTACTATGCAGGTAGTCCCCAACTTACTATGGTTCACCTTAAAATTTTTGTCTTTACAATGGTACAAGAGTGCTATGCACTCAGGAGAAAGAGACCGAGCAATACGCTTTCATGGTGCTGGGCAGTAGCCGCAGACACAGCCCCAGTCAGCCACTCTGTCAGGAGGGTAACAACCAAGATACTGTACAGTGTGGTGCTGTGTGGCCACATGGCTTTGCCCAGTTTCAACTTACACTGTTTCAGCTTATGATGGGTTTATCAGGACACGATCCCATTGTAAGTAGAGGAGCACGTGTGCATTGGGATAAGAGCTGTGGTGGAAGGATATTCAGTTGGTAGTGGACCACATAGCATCCCCTGACGTGCTTTCTTTCCTCCTGGACAGGGCTGTGTAAACATGACAGACCCTCATTTTTTCTGTTTCCAGCTAAGCTTTATTCCATTTTGTTGGCACTGGATGCGGCGACTGTCAAAAGCTGCCCCTTCTGCTCTTTGGCCTTTATAGATTTCCTAGTTTGACTCATATCCTTACAAATATAACAGATTATAGACGTGTGCCGTTATCAAATGCAGCATAAAATTACATGATTTTATGATGTTCAAGAGCTATTCTGAGCAGCCTGAAATAAATATTAATGTGTAAAATGGAAAATAATTCCATCTGGATTCGTTTCATAAATCTTTTTCTTCAATTTTCTCACACTTTACAGGTGAGCTTCAGTCCCCAGGATAACACTCAGGTGTGTGTGACTGGAAATGGGATGTTTAAGCTTCTCCGTTTTACGGAGGGAACCCTGAAGCAAACCAATTTTCAGAGGGGAGAACTCCATAACTATCTAGCGCACACCTGGGTGGCCGATGACAAGATTATCGTTGGCACCGACACAGGCAAACTCTTCCTCTTTGAATCTGGAGATCAGCGTTGGGAGACCAGCATCATGGTCAAAGAACCCGCCCTTGGCTCAAAGAGCCTGGATATCATCCAGGAATCAGAGAGGTAATGGTGCTCCCTGAGCTGGTGCTCCCACGTTCATTCTACTAACAGTATTATGCAGAAGACAACATTCTCTAGAAACTCCTCTACCGTAAAAGTCAACAATGCCCATTTTCCCTCTTCCTTTCTTGTTTTCATCTGTATTCAAGCACAGAATTTAACAGTTATAACCATAGGCTAGATATAATTCTTTTTATTTTTTTTATACCTAACCTCATTATATAAGCATTATAGTATGACTAGTCTTCAAAACCATCGTTTTTAGAAAATATATTTTCCAGTGGCTAATTTAATGAATTGATTCATGTTCACCAAGCCCTTGCAGTGTACAAAAGGCATCTCTTGCTAAATGCTGGGGACACAAGTCCTCAAGGAACTTACAGTTCAGCAGGAGGCAACAGACCAACAAGTGCAAGGAAACCTGACAGAGGATACGAGTAAAGTGTGGTTTCTATTACAGTGGCTATGACCACTGTAATAGAGATGCCATGTTACCTCTATGACAACCAGTAACAATCATATCCCCTGTGTATTGGCATGTACCATTGCATGCACCAGATACTGCTTTATATACTTTATAGATTCTTACCTTATATCATTCATACTATGACCATGCCCATTTTGTAGACAAGGAAACTGAGGATCACAGAGGTAAGTGGGCTACCCAAGATCACTGTGCAGATAAGTGGCGGGCTCAGGAGTCAAACCCAGATCTCTCTGATGCTAGAGCCTGGGCCCTCAACCCCAGTGGCATCCTGTAGATTCTTCTTCCTCAGTAACCTTCAGTCCTCCCATTTTCACCACCGTTCCCCGCCCATGCCAATGACATATCCTTTTGTTGTTGTTGTAATTATGTAGGAACCTCCTAAAGAGTCCCCATAACCTTCTCGGAGCTGTGTTCACAGTCCTTCAGCCCTGGGGTCCAGGCCTCCCAGAACAAAGCCCAGATTCCTTGGCTTGGCCCAAGCATACCTGCGGCTCTCTTCCCCTACAGCTCTCACCTCCATCTACTCCACACGCCCCAAGCACTCTCTTGCTTCTGGGCTTGGCCATGTGCAGTTTATGTACAGTTCCCAGGCCAAAAGGTAGCATTTGGCTGTGGAAAAGGGGATCATTGGGTGGTTTCTCGCACACCCAATGACACCCTTCTTTCTGCTCCCCAGCAGAATTCATCTCCTTGAGATTGTCTCTGTATATTGTGTATGCTGTTTCTTTGTTTCCAGCCTGATTGAATTTCCGCCAGTCAGTTCCCCACTCCCTTCCTATGAACAGATGGTGGCGGCCAGTAGCCACAGCCAGATGTCCATGCCCCAGGTGTTTGCCATTGCAGCCTATTCAAAGGGATTTGCCTGTTCTGCTGGGCCAGGGAGGGTTCTCCTGTTTGAGAAGATGGAGGAAAAGGATGTTTACCGTGAGAGCAGAGAAATCAGGGTAAGGAGGGAAGAAAAAGCAAAACGGGGGTCCTGCTGGCATTTGTTCCCCAGCAGCCGTCCTCTGAGAAGGCATCTGATGGGGAGGGATGGGATGGGATTGCTGAGCAGAAACGGCAAAATGATGACTTGAGATATCTGTCCCAAAAGAAGTTTTGGGTGAGGTGAACAGAGCTGGAGTTTAAAATAGGAAAGTTGACCAGTCATGTTGGCTTATGCCTCTAATACCAGCACTTTGGGAGGCGAAGGCAGGTGTATCTCTTGAACCCAGGAGTTTTAGACTAGCCTGGGCAACATGGCGAAACCCCATCTCTACAAAAAAAATAAAATAAAATACAAAAATTATGAGTTCAGGAGTTTGAGACCAACCTGGCCAACATGGCAAAACCCCATCTCTACTAAAAATACAAAAATTAGCTGTGCATGGTGTCACATGCCTGTAGTCCCAGCTCAGGTAGGAGAATAGTTTGAACCCTGGAGGTGGAGGTCGCAGTGAGCCAAGATCATGCCACTGCACTCTAGCCTGGGCAACAGAGTGAGACGCCATCTCAAGATACACACACATACACACGCACGCACGCACGCACGTAGCCAGGCATGGTGGCATGAGTCTGTAATCCCAGCTAGAATTGCTTGAACCATGGAGGTGGAGGTTGCAGTGAGCCAAGAGGTTGGTGTACACTGCACTCCAGCCTGGGTGACAGAGCAGGAGTCTGTCTCAAAAAAAAAAAAAAAAAATTAGCAGGGCGTGGAGGTGTGCACCTACGGTCCCAGTTACTTGGGAGTCTGAGGTGAGAGGATGGCTTGAACCTGGCAGGTGGAAGTTGAATTGAGCCAATATCATGCCACTGTATT